TTTCTCGTCGGGCATTTTTTGATATTCGGAACCAGTGTTCTTCGTTCCTTCTTTTTCACAAACTCTTATGTAAGGTTAACAAAAGTGCAGTGTCATACACTCTAAAAAAATCGGTTTTTTACCGAATCCCCAAAAAAAGGTTCTGGAGATGTCTAAAAGCGTCCAAAGAGGTCCAAAGTCTCACAAAAAGGATAAAAAAATCTACGAAACCTTTAAAGGTTCTTACTGTGTGTCCAGGATAAGAACCTTTTCCTGCGAAACCTTTTTTTAAGTTCCGTACAGCAGAAAAAGGTTTCGTAGGAAAAGGTTCCTATCCTGGACACACAGTAAGAACCTTTAAAGGTTTCGTAGATTTTTTTATCCGTTTTTTGAGACTTTGGACCTCTTTGGACGCTTTTAGACATCTCCAGAACCTTTTTGAGGTGTTCGGTAAAAAACCGATTTTTTTTTAGAGTGTACTGCAGGGGAAGGGGAAGAAAACTTTGGTTATACTGTCGATAATAGTATAATGAAAAAAATAAACTCGATTTCGTTGAAATTCCGTTAATGTGCTGACACAGTATTTCGATTGATTGTTGAGACTGCGTTAAGGGAATAGGAGCTTCTCTGTTGACTTATCTTGAAGAATTCACATGGACAAGAAATAAAGTCTTTGATAATCTCGATGCTCGGTATACAGACTTCTTTTGTCCAATCGAAAAAAAGACTTCATGACGAGTTCGAGACAAATTGGGGATGGTAATATTTTATTTTGCGCCAATCCATATTGTGTATTCTTTATTCAGATGCACCCATTTGGTTCGAGTTAGTCACTAACCCATCTTAAGAGACTGATACTGTCTGTTTTCATTGAAGAGCATGAGTTATCATATAACATCAATTATAGAGTATACATCGAATCCGTCATTATGATATGGATCTATATGAAAAATGTAGCCGTATAATATCGTTATTGATACAACTCTTCTATTATTTTATTCTGCATCCACAAAGTTCAAAGCGTTTTATTTATCAGTTTTATTCAACTCCACATTTCATATACTAATGCCACCTTACCCATTTGTGTGCATCCCCTACCAATATATGCTTCTCTTTGTATGCAAAATTAACATTGTATACACCTAATTATGAATTAGCCAATCAGAAACTTTTTCTTTCTTTTTTCGTTTCGTTATTCATTGTACGATATCACCGTTTGAATTTTTCATACAGACACTTACCACACTGGAACTCAACGAAAATCAAATAGGAGATAAGGGAGCAGAGCATCTCGCTGATGCATTACAAAATAACATGGTGACTCTTGTTCTCTCTTCATTTGTCGCATATACAAATCTGCACTCTTCACATAGACACTCACCACACTCAATCTGAGCAGTAATCAAATCGGAGATGAAGGAGTACAACATCTGGCTAATGCTTTGCGAAATAATATGGTGAACCTCGTTCTCTCTTCATCTTTCGCATATACTCATCTGTACTTTTCCACACAGACACTCACTGCACTAAAACTCAATGACAATCAAATCGGAGATAAAGGAGTACAACATCTGGCTGATGCACTACAAAATAACACAGTAACCCTGGCTCTCTCTTCATATTTCTCATACACCCATCTGTATATTTTTATAAAGGCACTTGCCACACTATATCTTCGAATCAATCAAATACAAGATAAAGGAGCACAATATATTGCTTATGCATTACAATATAACACAGTGATATTCATTCTCTTCTTGTCTCTAATATACTCATTTGCACTTTTCACGCAGACACTCATCACATTACATCTCTGTGACAACCAAATTGGAGATGCTGGAGCACAATATCTGGCTGATGCATTACAAAAGAATACGGTGACTCTCATTCTCTCTTCATATCTCGCATATATAAATGTGCACTTTTCACACAGACACTCACCACACTAACGCTCTCCTTCAATTCAGTCGGAGACGAACTTCAACGACATGTGGAGGAACTGATTGCGCAGAATCAACGGGCGGCCACATCTTGAATATTGCTATGGAATATTATGTGGTAGAGAAGTGAAAGAATCCGATGAATATGTCACCGGCGTATTTTTCACATTCTTTTTAAACGAAAATAAAAATAAAAGCTTTTGATTATTCAATGCGATGTTGGTGACAATGATGATATCGCAGTGTTTTTGTTATATTCGAAATGTCGAACATGCAGGATCAGATATTTTATCAAAGCTACGTATGTGACTATGATGAAGAGAGTTCTTATGCGTTCCAATCCTCCCTAATTATTCTATGTGGGTGAGTGTATGTTGAAAGAAGTTTGGCAAATGTAAAGTGAATAGAATGCTTCATATTGTCATGATATCGATAATGCTCAATGTTGCAAATGATGTTTTGCAGATTTTGCTTGAAAAAGTGATGATATGAGCATCCGAAAGAGCTTATGATGGATAATACAAGCGCTGATATAGAACGTTTGACAAGTTGCTCGCGTATTATTTTTTTCTTCAAAGAATCTGTACTTTCGATAGCGGTTAACTGTATGGGCTATGTTGAAGATGTTCATAGGAAATGCGGTTGATCTTGTAATTCGATTTGCAAATATATGAGACCCTGTTCCTTATCTGCCACGTTCAGCGTTGGAAAAGTTAATAAAAGTAAATACTGTCAATATGAGAATATGCTAATCGAAAATGAATTAACTTCTCTGATTGCAAACGTTCGGAATGAAAATAGTAATCAACTATTTGAAAGTTGTGAAACAGGTTCATCTAGTTTAATGGATATTTATATACATATGATAACGTAGGGAGTCGAAATTAGTGCAGCGAGGTCTCGATCGAAAAAAATCACAAACAAATCCTTAAGATTGACGAACTTCTTGCTCCTGTATCTTCTATATGCTTATTCTCTTATGTCATAACCGTGAAACTCAATTCATTACTTGAATTGAATTGAATAATTAGTTTCAGGATTTTATGACGTCAATCTAGATAAATTTTTTAATGTAGCAACAATGATTCATTTTTTCATGAATCAACTATTGATTTATTTGATAGGACAAACATAACGATGTACCAAATTAAAAGATGAGAAAAATGTTTTTTTGTTGAATTTTCGATCTTTTCTTGGAGATCATCATCAGAATGAATATGTTGTTGTAACAGATATAACACCACCTATATCAACAATAATCATTATGAACTACCAATTCATATAATAATGTTGAATCTCTAAATTGTTGCTAAATTAAAATTTATTATTTAATTAAAAATTCATGTTTTCATCTATTTGATAATGTATGTGTCAATCTAGATGAGTAGAGTTGAACATGTCTATGCTACGGGTATCTATTTGATAATTAAAGTATTGTGACTTTTCTGTACATTGAAAAGAAAGAATGTAAAAACTACGAACAAATTCTATAGTGACGGCCTATGTGTGATAGTTTGATATTAATTTTGAAGAGTGACTCAAACGAAAATGCAATGGTCTTCTGTTTGTAGTTTGAAATGGTCAGAAAAACTTATGATTGTTGAATGTAAAATGGTAACTATGCTACATGTTTCATTTCTCTGTTGTAAAAAATTGAGACCGGAAAGCGTAAATATCAAACCAATCATTCGTGCCACGGACACGTCGGACTCGTATTCATTATAGGACTTTTTCAGTGGCTTGCATGATTTAAGTGATTTAAAAAGAGCTCAAAAATCCAACCATTATTATCAACAAAAAATGTTGACTCGGCTAACGATCTAAAAAGACATTGCAAAGAGCTGTTACTGAAGATCGGCTCCTCGCTATAATCGAATAACGATTTATTAGCCTTGATAAATTTTATAACAACTGCTACAATTATAAAACAGAAAAACCAACGATACCAAAATCAGTGTAATCAGCGACAATATTTGTCTTCAGCATCTAGTGATCATGAGTTATCAAGCACTCAGTCATATCAAATACGTCATCGAGGCAGCGCAAGTTATCCTAGAATCCAACGTCACAATCCATGAATATTCACGGCAAAAGTAATCTACAGTCCAGTGAAAAATGCTTCGATTATAATTCAGATTATTGTGAAACAAAATGAAAATTATAATCCACATAGGAGATTGGCTGTCGTTAGTGGTCAAAATCTCCTAAATTGATTATAATTTTTGTTTTGTTGTATATCATAATCCGATTTTAATCGTAACATTTTCCACTGAGATTAAACCCTTCAACTAATTCATCAACAATTTATCATTCTTCGAATTTCTTTTCATCCAAAACACTTCATCTTTTCATGATGTGATATTAAATCTATACCATCTTCCGAGAAAACAGATTGCAAGTGAAAAGTTTACCACATCCATCTTTAATGTCTAATCTTCTATCATAAAATGTTCGATGCATAGACGATGAATTAATCATATATATTGATAGATGAACAAAAGTTTGAAAGGGTTTATCATTTGAATTAAATTAAATTTCCAGTGTAATATTTAATTAAAATGAATTTTAATTTTTAAATACATTATTTCTTTTCTCTATAAAATCTTATAATAATTAGTAACAAACTTAAATAATCTAATGAAAATTTTCCATTGATGACTTCCATACAGATATAAGTAGAATAAAACAAGAGAATGGATTTCATATAAATAAGAAGCAATACTTAAGCAAAATTTAACATAGAACAGGATGAATCAAGTTATTCTTTAGTGTTGTTTTATTTTACAGTGAGTAAATGAGTTGTTGTCGAAATACGATTCAGATTTTGACTATACAATCTATATGTAGAAAGGAATTGATTGTATTACTGTTAACTCTTATTTCACATTAAATATTTTTTCACAGCTATTCAAGTGACTTTTAAATTCCAAGTTTTCAAAAACGACTCATATAACTATCAAATAATTTTGATTTGTTCTCGAAAACTGGACTATATGAGTTGATATTATTTTCAATCTAGTTTTATTTAGATAAGTGAAAAAATAAAAAAAAGAATTTTTTGTTACATCTAAAAATTCAAGTTTATACTTTTGCCCTAGAAGCATTTGCTCTAGTAGTCATTACTGGTGTTATGACAGATTTTGTCTGATGTTGGTGATTATTTTGAGATGAAGGAATTCCCATCATCTGTGAACTTGAATGTTTAGTATCGGTTCGGCGTATTGAAGAATCGATAGAGAGAGATGATCCATTCGGAAGAGGTGGAAGATGTTGTCGCTTATGTTGTTGATGATTTTCTCGACTTTTCGACGGTTTTACCTGATTATTAAGCAATGGTTGTTGTCGATGATTGCTTCTAGATTTGGATTGTTTTGTATCATTATTACTGAATGGTACTTTTTCGATATTTTGTGCTAATTTATTTATTGATATAGATTTTAGTAGTGTTTGTTGCGAACCAGATGATTTTGCTTGTAAAGAATCGAATGATTTACTCGATGTGATTTCAATATGATAATTAGATGAATCAGTTGAGTTTTGGTGTTTATGTTGATGATTTGTATGAGAACGTATTCGATGATTATTTTTAGACGAACGGGATCCATCCGAATGATGCCGTTCACCATGTTTATGATGACTTTCATTAGCAACTGTTTGACTACGCTCTGCTAATGTTGCTGTATAATCTATGGTTAGATAAATAGCTTTTTTTACAGGTGCTTGTGCTGATGATTTATTAGGCACAGCTGTTAATGATCGAGGGACTGATGATCGATTTGATAATGGCACAGATTTTCTTGTTACTGACATATCATTAGCTGTAACACTTGATTCATACAAAGATTGAGTATTAGTTAAAGGTTTAAAAGCCGATGCTTTTTGTTGTTGTTGTCGAGATGAAGAAGAGAATCGTTCTTTTTTTGATAAACGTTCGTCAAACATAACGGTTTGCGATTGATCGTTAATCATATCAGGAACTTGAACATGAACATATTCATTAGGATCGTATGGAGCATTATGTAATGGTGGCATTCGATGTGACTTTATTGAATAAAGTGAATTATTGACATCATGAGGAAGTTGCCGTGTTTGATTTCTTGCATCATTTTGAGTAATTGAGTTATAAGACGAATAAGTATTGGATTCATCAGTGCGATCTACTTGAACAAATGTTTAATATTTGAAAAAACAGCTCTTGAAAAATAAAATAGCGAGTTTCATTAGGTAAGTACTTGTGAAAAAAAAAAGAATTGCCTCATTTAAATCATATGGAGTATCATGACGAAAACGATACTTTAGCTTTTTACCCGCCGTGATACATTAAACATAATATTTTCTTATCGTCATGACACACATCATGATAAGACGGTAATAACTCAAAAATTGAAGAGAATATTATGTAAATCGTTTCACTTACTACAAAAATTGGTTGATAAGTTTACAGTAATACAAAAAACACTGTTCAGAATTTCGTTATTATGTATTAAAATTTGTTTGAAATAGCTGATTAAGTAATGATGAACGAACTCTTTTGAAATATTGTATATCTAAAGGGTTAATTTTTCACTAAAAGAACACTGAAATTAGCTTTAAGAAAAGCAAAATGCTGAACAGTATTACAAACTTAAATTCTTTTTTTTTGCAAAAGTGAAAGAGCTGAAGAATTAGTATTAGTTTTTCTTCTTTTCTGTCTCTGAAGGATAATAATATCTAAGAAAGTAGTAGACATTCACTTTTGTTTAAAATGACACTAATATAAAAATTAGAAGAATTGCCCATTAGGTCTGGAAATCGAGACATTCTTTGATGGCCCGAACCAACTTAGAATGATCATATTAAAGGATTTCTACACGATAAAATTCCGCAATCAGACTTGAAAAACAGGATGGGAGATAAGTTGAATTACTTATTGAACTGAAAGAGCAAGATGCGTTCGTGGGTACTCCGACTTCTTGAAGACTGCCATTTATTAATATAAGTTTCCACGAGAAAAATGCTCGTTAGTCAATTTCAAAGAGTTACATCGGCTACTATTTTGTGAAACACAATCTAAAAGAAATGTTGTAGTACATAGGATAGAAACTTACACTCCCCCACCTTTCTACAGACCGTCACGAACTTATAATATTTCTGGAAGATTATATAAAAGGATGGTGAAGAAATGTGTTCCAAAATAGATAGAATAAAACAATCTCTCTATGATTAGCAAAAACAGCTAAATCGTGTTTTACATTTTAATCCCCAGAGATCGGGTTAACTGCTGTTTTAGTTACAGTTAACACTGTTCCATTTCAGTAACATTCATGTATTCAATGCAGTTGATAATGCACTCGACCTTACGTATGAATGAAAAATGTCACTGAGCTGAATAAATGCTCTGCTTTTATTTTATTGATTAAATGAAATTTCCAAAATGTATGTGTAATAAATATTCCTCATTATTATCAGTTGAAAGGTGCAAAAGGCATGTAAGAAATTTAGATGAAGAATCAGAATAAAATCGATTTATTTTATTATTATTATTGTTTTTGTTTTTGTTTTTTTTTTTGAGTAAAAATCAATTCATATATCGCCATTTTATTCTGATTTTTCAGCTTTAAAGATAGATTTCAATTGATTTTAGTCTATTGATTGAAATGGTTTCTGTTTCTATTAGAAATCCATCAAGAAAGATTAAAATCAAATGAAATCTTTCTTCAAAGTTGAAAAATCAACGTCTTTTTGTGTTTTCTTATGTGGGAAGTCTTCCTTGAAAATAGAAATAAAATTCGGGTCCGACAGTACATTTTCAGCTTTGTTACTCATCATTTCTGAATTGATATTTTTTTCGTTTTATATTCAATTCAAGGCTGTTCTTGTGTTAGTATAAATTTCTTCACTATCATGCGTATCAATCAATTTTGCTTTTATTTTCACATAACTCCATATTTCACAAGCTCTTTCGCATAAAAAATTCGAAATGACTCATATATCATAAATAATGTTCGCTTTAACCATGACGAAATGATTGAAATTTACGATGCTGATAATAGATTCATTCTCTATACTAATATATCAGAGAAATAGCTTGTTCGAGACAAAATACAGAAATTCTATGATGGACTCATTATAATACTAATTGCTTTTAGTCAAATTCAATATCTTACCATCTATTTTCGTCATTTGTTGTTCAGCAAATATCTTATCCCATAAATCATATGTTTTACCTAAGTCAACATTTCGATCATTATTTTCATAATCAGACTCAAACGATACATCTACATTTTGATATTGTTGTATTCGTTTATCTTTTCGTCTTCTAAAGTATGTTTCATTGTCTTCAATTGATGATCGATTCAATACACCACCCATTATTCTCGTATCAAGAAAATTTGTCCGTATAGTTTCGTTGTCTTATTGCAAATAACCATCAATCTTCACTTCTTACCTGTACTGCTGTTCTATTCGAGCAATTAATTGATTGCAAGTGATCGATGTGGTAGATAACAAAATGAAAAAATTAATATTATGCCTGCACATAGGCTGAAAAACATGACGTTCCACATTAGTGACTATATATAAGGCACAAAATACTAACGTAAGCATACAAAAAATATCTAAACAAATACACACATGTGGAAGGTTTGAATCATTATTATTATGTTTTCTTTTGACACTCTCAAATGGAATAAAATGAATAACTGACAGAAAAAAAAAACATGTTATACGTAGTACAGAGAGAAAAAAAAGACAAATGCGAATGTTTTAATATAATGATGTTTTTTTCATAATTCGTAAAAATTCTTGTTCATTAATTTCACCATCACCATCACGATCTGCTTCGTCAATCATTTCCTTTAGATAAAAAATCAAAGGATATTTCAAATCGAGCTTTAATATAAAAGTTAATTTACTTGTAATTCTTCATCAGTTAAATTTTCACCTAATTCTTTTGCAACACGTTTTAAATTTTTAAATGAAATTTTTCCTGTACTATCATCATCAAAAAGTCTAGGAAAAAAAGAATAAAAATTCAGAAAAAGAAAATTTATTTAATTGAATTTTTTTATTACCGAAAAGCTTTAAGTATTTCTTCTTTTGAATCTTTTTCAGCCATTTTTTGTGACATCAACTGAAGAAAATCATTAAAATCGATTGTACCTTATCATCATAGAATAAATATTTTTGTATTTAGAAAATTTTTATGGTTATTTACCAGCATTTTCTTTTTGAATGTCAGATATCATTTTTTTAATTTCTTCTTTTTTTGGTTCGAAACCTAATGCTCGCATTGCTACCTGAAATAAATTTTACATTTAATAATACAATAAATCGATTAATTAGTATTTTTTTTTTATTGACTTTAAGTTCTTTAACATCAATTGTTCCTGAACCATCAGCATCAAATAGATCAAAAGCTTCACGAATTTCTGTTTTTTGTTCTTCGGTTAACTCGGGTCGAGATCCTGTTGGTCGCTTTTTGGCACCACCGCCAAGTGCTGGACGTTTTATTTGAGTTGTTGTGGCCTATATACAAATACATATTGAGATATGATTACAATTAAATACAACAGAAGATCTGTTACCATTGGAATGGAAATGAAAGATGTTGAGAGATTATTAAACGGCAGAGATTTTGTCTATAAATGAAGGAAAGAATGCCATGTTGTCAAGTTCATGTCCTCCTATGTCAATAATATGATTTAATTGAAATTCTGAATAAAATGCTCTATCATGATTATACGCTGATAATAGAGTGAGATAGATCATTTTTATAACTGAAAATTATAAACTTTATAAATTCTTGTAAAAAGATGTCACTAGAGACTACATCTGCGTTTGCTATTTTCTAGATTTTCTAGAAGTTACTGAAATATTTTAGTATTACCACGTTTCATGTACGAAACAAAGCAATATTGTAATACGATCGTTTTCTTTGTAATTTGAATATCCTGAAAAGAATTCGCGCCTTTGGTTTGTTGCTGCGGATATACTGCAAATTTACAGTAGATTTTGAATGAATGTCGTAGTTCTTTTCATGAACACCAGGAAGAATGATTTTCGAATTTTAATTTGATACGTTACATACCGAAATCTACCAGTTTATATGAGCGATGTAAAAAACATAGATGTTTTTTAAGATAGAAACATCGTAAATCAATTTTTCTGTTAGCATAAAATTCATTTAAAAACTACCATACAAGTGCAATATCTCTGTAGCAATGAGCTAAGGGCATGAATTCTTTATAGGGTACTAATAGCTAGCTTAGTTTTACATAATAAACTTAGTCTCGATTCAAAAGTGATATATCAGTTGAGGGGCTTCTCTTGTTAATAAATATTTGATTTTATTATTAATTCTCTTATATGTTGATGGATGATCTTGCAAATATAATTGATAATAGTAAATGCAAACTTGAGATAACTAACGAAACTAATACTTGAATTTCTTGAATCTTACAAAGGTCAATTCATTATGATATGTGTTTAAAATATACATAGATACCGTTGAATGACTACAATCAAACTTTCTGTGTCGAGGTTAAATATGATACAACAAGACTATTGAAATACTGTATGATCTCATATGATCTATTCCGTTAAAAATGTTTCTTTTCTCACAAAATATAAAGAAATCAAATATATTTTCAACATAAATTTATATTTTTCTCAATTAATGACATAGAAACTATCGCCATTATTTGAAATTCCACTACCATTCCAACGAATAGTTCGTTGTGAAATAGGATGACCAACCCACTAAAATAGTTTTACATATATATATATATATAATTATTTGATTATTTAAGAACTTTACTTGATCCCAAACTCGAATACCATTACTGTCTTGACTCATATAGATAGCAGCATGGCCTGAATATTTACCATTGGGAAATGTTGCAATGGCTGTACCAGATGCAATATTTGCTCCACGAACCTGTATGAATTTTTTGTAAAATTAATAAACTTAAATATTTGTCAATCTACTTTTATTCCTTTTCCCCATTGACTTGTCGTACGTCGATCACCAGTGCAAATTCTGTTTTATTCAATACAAAAAAAAGAAAATAGAAACCTTATCAAGTATAAATAACACTTACTTAATAAAACTTACACATTCACCACAATAGCCACCTAAAAATAAAAGATAATTACATATAATGAGTAATGGAAAAACTAATTTACCTAAATGATCACAAAGACTTTTGCCACTATATTGACTTGGATTGCCACATGAAATTCCTGCAATTAAAATAATATAGTCAATTTTGATCTCATGACAACTCTTACCGTATGTTACGGAAACGAAACTGAAAAGAGCAACTAATAATGATATAAGAATATTGCTTATATGCATAATTTGAAATAAAAATGAATAATAATTCGTTACTTCATTTCTATCGAAATATTTATAGTATGATACCAGAATATAATAACATTTGGTATTAAATCCTCGGCAAATAAATTTAATATTTTTATCGACGAAATTGAGAAGATTTTTTGTGTTTTACTTTTGCGTATTTCATCTGTAGAATACTTTCATGATTTATTTGATCAGCAGTCATATCAGATGATTCTAGAAACAATTCAAGTTTATTATTAATAGATACACAGTGATACTTATTGATAAACGTCGAATATATGAGTAATGAAGAGAAGAAACGAATGATTAAGTAAAAATCATTCAAAATGTAATTAGTTTTTTGTAAAAATATCAATATATATAAGTTTACATTCGAAGTATTAACACTTGACAACTTTCTCTTTATGAGAGAAATCATTTTTTCGGATCCCAGCTTAACAGAATTTACTTGTTAAATACCATGAAACACGATAGGTCGCTCGATTTCGAATCAAATCAAAATTATTTGGAAGTCAAAAACTTCAAGATATAAAGTCGAAAAATTAAAAAGGGAAATGCTCGAACCCGATCAAAATATATTGCATGTGGAAATGTTCATTGACATCTTCATATGATACTCAGCATGAACAGCATACATAAAAGACATTCAGTGGAAAATTGTTCTTTACTCCTCAATCTAATTTTACTCGACCCCCTTCCCCATCATCTAGATATCTGGTATAAAAAACTTTTTTCAGAAAGAACTTGTCTATTTGTTCTCTTGAATCATTTTGTATTAGCTAGACGTATGAGAAAAAGAAATAAAATACATGCTCAGATCAAATACAATGTTTGATGTTATCGAATAGATTCAAATATTTCATTCATTTATATATGAGACATCATAGAATTTCTATATGAAATAGTTTTAAAACGTTGTTAAAATTCATTTAACGTCGAAAATTCATAATAAACGTCCAAACATCCATGAACGTGTCACTCCCCGTCCTACCTGTCTAAATATTTCTAATTTTAGCAAACCTCTCTACCTTTCTCCTTCTTTTTCTGAGTGTTGTTCATGTTGATTGTAATAATACTATGTTACGTAAATTTCTTTATATCTACCTATTGTGTAGCGGTTAAGTTACCGCTAGTTTTAACGAAAGCAATATGCACGGCCAACTTCTTCATGAGGAAAAGAAAAAAATAATTGATTGTGATTCCATCAGAGAAAGTCAGTATTTTAAGATCGTGCAAAATAGATGAAACTTCTGCATATATATCTTTCTCTTTATGTCAATTAACTTATTTAAAAAACAGTTAGATAGATACATATTTTTTATTAGAAAAAAAACTTTTCAATAGTATATGCAGTAAATAATATAGATACCGTCAGAAATCAGAAAAATAAACTACTATCTTGTCAAGACAATTCTAACTTGTAATAGACGTCTCAATGAGATTTCTTTCTATTTCTTTCAACCGTTCTGTTAGTTTCATGTCAACGCAGGACCACACATTCTAGCGTCGTACCTCATGTACTCATCACGTTTTCTTTTCGTTCACTATTTCCTCCATTTTTCTTCTTCTTCCGGCTCTTCTTCGTCGTTTCCCTTTTTTTTTCTCGTCTTTTTCATAGAAAAAAGAGAGAAGACATATATATATATATATAGGCCTTGAATCCTACGATACTCCTCATTTTTACAAATAAAACAACTATCGTCGATCTTCCCTTCCTTTTCTCAATACTATCGTTATAAGGCGAATAAGCAATAATGCAAAACGTTAAGGACGCGGCTCATGCTATTGCAGAAAAAGTTAAAGGTAATAAATGAAAATATATTAGATAAGTTTGTTGCAATTTCTTTTTATGCTTCTAGGAGTAACAAGTGGTGCTTCGTTTGAAGCCAATAAGGAGGCAGCTACAACTAATAACTACTCAACAGGTAACCACACTGATCGTACTGTCGATATTGTTACAGATAAAAATATCATGCCTTTTCGTTTGTCATGAGAAAAAAAGAGATTTAATATTACACTTTTATTGTTTTTAGTCGAAGAGAAAAATAATGAAGCTAAGAAAGAAGCTACTGAAGAACGAGGTGTAATTGGTCACATTGGTGATACATTATCCAATGCATATCATTATGTTGCTGAAAAAGTTCATGGTTTGTATAAAAAAGAAATCTGGTGTCTTTGTTTTTGAATTTAGTAATTAAAAATTGTTTTAATTTTAGAAGCAACAAGTGTTGTTTCATTTGAAAATAACAAAGAAAAAGTCAAAGATTCGGATAATACAGTTGGTGAACGTGTTACAGCTGCTTGTTCAGCTGTTGGTGACAAGACTGAAGAAAAAGTTCATCAAGCCCAAGCTGAAGCACATAAAGAAGCAATGTAGAAAAAAAAAATAATTTTTTAATGTGCTTCATAATTTATTCTCAGATATAAATACATTTACGCTATTTCCGTTTGTCTGTGTCACATGAAATTTTATTCCAACTATTTTATTCTTTTATTTCATTTTTTTTTGTTGTATTGCTAATAGAATAAAATAAAACACATTAGCAAGTGATATTATTCATCAACGGACACAGATGTGACATGTTTCGATATAGAATGAAACTTATACAAAAGTTTAAGACCTAATATAATATAATTGTTTGCTGCTCAGTAATATATATAATAGGAGTATCCTTACTTAAATCGATTCTTGGCGATAAGAAAAATATCAGTTGAACATTTTTACTGATTTAGATAAATCATTAAAAAAAAATGGATAGTGTTTCTTTGAAATCTCATGTATCAGTAGTATTGTATCCACCATAAGTTGTGTAGGATTTGAAAAAAAAAAACTTTTAGAAAAAATGATTTATACGTATAAATTGAGTTTTATATAGTTTTTCTCTATCGATAGAAGTTTTCTTTACTTATTAAGTGAACAATGACTATAATAAAACAATATTTTGTTTTATAGATAGTCAAAGGTGGTGCTGGTAGTATGCTTTTACTATTGGTCGATAGAATGATTCATTCGTTTTTGTTGTTGTCTCTTGCTTATAGTTATTATCGTCGAAGGTTAATCTTCATCGAAAAGAAAATCATGTTTAGTTGTAAGAAAGCTTTATTTTTATTAGTAAATAGAAGTGAAGAAAATAAAGCTGTTTTATTATAGTCAATGTAAGAAAAGACTTAATTGAATTTATCTATTGGTTTTGTTTTTCTTAAAAGATTCTTCGTCGTCTTGGTATTGAAGTAGCCATTAATTCAATTGAAGGAAATCGCGAAGTATTGCAATGTACTCAAGATATTGCCATTGTATCAAAATATATCTATAAAGGAAATATTGAAGAATGAGAAATATGATGTTGTTATCGACTTAGAAGATGATAAATATTCAAAAGATGATTAAAAAATTTTCTTTTTGTTCAATCTACAAGTTTTTCAAGCTCATTAAATTGCTATAAAAAGTACAATAGTTACAGATGATTCAAAATATTAAAAGAATGTTATAATGTATGTAGATCAAAAGTTAATTAAAGACAATGCTGATTTATTATTCTTTTAGAAAGACTTTTCATCAACCAGTTTATCATTGTAAATAAAAAACAACTGTTAGCGAATTAGTCACAAAACCATGGTAGGGTCTCACTTAGATGTCAGTCAACTATCTAAACTGTTTATCCAACTAGCCGACAATAAAAAAAATTGCTAATTGATTTTGGAATGGTAAAAAACGCACTTTCTATTTATTTCATCTTTTCTCTGCATTGATTCGATCAGTTGAAGGACATAATGTTGATTATATTTCGATTCTACAAAAAATACCACTTTAATTATGTAGATCACAACTGACAAATTGTCATTTCTTTCGTAAATAAGTTCCTTCGTCGAAACGTAAACAAAATATTCATGAAACTGAAATAAACAAAAATAAAGCTGCCAGTGCAATTTCTGTGGGATTTAAATGTGAAACACGATGTAGCTGCATTTGCTAATCACAGAGAGATTGTTTTATTCTTTCTATTTTGGGACACATTTCTTCCCTATCCTTTTACTTAATCCTCCAGAAATGCAATAAGCGAGTAGTTCATATATTATAATGAGACGTTATTGATATACGGTCTACAATCTTATATCCACAATGCCTGTCGTACTCTGTGTTTCGTAAAAACTTGCAGTTTTGTAAATGAATCTTCGGTTCAATCGAATTTATTTTCGAACAAAAAAAAAAATAAAGATAATAGATCATTTCATTTCTAGCAGTATTTAATATTGATAATATGCACTAGTCTTAAGTTGTTTTCGTATTAGCTGCCATTTTATAGTCAAAATGACGTATTTGTTATTGATTATAGTCATTAACAAGAATACTTTAATGATAAATAAAAGTTTTTCTAATAAAAATCTCTGGGGAACCATAAAAAAAAAGAAATTCTTTGAAACTCCCTGGGGAATTGATGAGCTAGTGCAACAATACGTCGAGTGTTGTATTTTGCATCTCTAGAAGCATATAAGACAGTGAAGCTTCAAAAAGAACAATGGTTTTCTTTTTGTTGAATATCTTTTCTAAGTAATAGATATTGTTTAGGATTCTGTTTGAATCTCATCAGCATGAATTCATTGTTTAGACGGAAGTTAACTTTAGAACTGATTAACACATCCAGTAGGACGAGACTTATTGAATAGTTCATGTAAAAAACTCTTTGAAAAAAGTAACAATCTTTTTTCGTATAAAGTTAATTTTTGTTGATAAACAATCGAGCAAAAAATAGCTGAATTACTATAAATAGACGTATCAAAATCTATTTTAGCACTGATTTAATTCGAAGAACATCTCTGAGAAGACTCTAAAAATTCTCGTAATTTCGTAAAATGAAATTCAAAAGACAGTTTTAAATGGACAACTAACAAAATACTAGTTATCAATATTCTTGATAAAAAGCCTTAAGCGTTTCTCAATGATTCGTTAATGTTCTATGAAAATTGCATCCATTTTATAGTTAATTGATTTATGTAATCGTGAAATGAATGAATAGTGAGTTAACTAAAAATGATCCGAATTCCCAAATGTATACAATTATAAATTAATATTAGTGAATCTGTTAATATCATTAGATATTTTTAAAATATTAATTTCTTACCACTGTATCATCGAAGGATATTCAAGAACTGAGAAATAGGAATTACATCATAGCTCCATGATTACTAAAATAAAAGAAACACAAACTATCCACGATATTTTTTATTCTCATATTCATCAAGGAACATATGAAACTGTGAAGAACTTAATGGTTAATTCTGATAGCTCCATTGAGAACTCCTTCGCAACCTACGAATTCTTATTCCTCAAATCTTGAACATTGCTGATGTGAATGTCCATAATAGAAAACCATGACTTTTTATTTTCTGGGAGAAAAAGGGATAAGATTCTATGCATTGTCGTAAACAGGCTTTTAAAAAGTTTTTTAGCACAGTCCCTCCCTTCTGGAAATGTGAAACTCACATGTCTATTCTAGCTTTACTATATTAATAAAGAATACACAAAGTGTAAGTTCTTGAAAATTAGTCTAACCATTGATTTGATGGATATATAAACTTGTTGTACATATTCATTATATCTACAGTAGATCTTAACGATTTATTATGTATCTTGATGAAATCAAAAACGCTGATATTAATTCTTTCTAAAAGTTAGACCTTAATCAATTAATCCTTTTTTGTCGTTCATACGACACTTGTGGGGAATTAAAACATGATTCTTGATATCTATTATGTAATCGTTTATCTACGCAAAAATTAGCTACTATGTTATTTAAAATATTGGAAAATCTATTTCAACCATTTAAATTTGAAAGAGGATTGGGGAGAGGGCTGCAAGCCTTTCACTTAAAACCTAGATTTATTAATCTCTTTGAAAATTTATATGATTTCCACGAAAATACTAAAACATTGTCTAACTATTTGATTTATTCTTGTTTACATCACGATAATGGATATCAAATGTGAATAAATCAAAAATACGTTTGGATGTAAACTTTTGTTGTCTACTTTATAAGTATTATATATTTTTAAGAAATTCAGTAATAAACTTTATTTTCAGATGACTAAAAAAGCGCTTGTTTTTATTGCTAATGGAAGTGAAGAAATTGAAGCAGTAACAACAATTGATGGTATGTTTGTTTTTATTTTGAACTTTGTTTTTTTTTTAAATTAATTATTTCTTTTCTTTTTAGTACTTCGAAGAGCTGAAATCGAAGTTGATGTTGCATCAATTGAAAAAAATGGTCATGATGTTATAAAATGTAGTCGTAATGTTCGTATTGTACCTGATAAATCATTGGATGATATCAAAAATAATCAATACGATTGCGTTGTTATTCCTGGTGGCAATGATGGTTAGTATATATTTATTGAACTATTGTAAAAAGAAATTTATGATACTCATTTTATATTATGAAATGAATTAAAACTATTATGCAATAGGATTATTTATTAATAGATTTTATTTTTCTTCTATTTTAAAATTAGGATCAAAAGTAATGGCTGCTAATGCTGAAGTCGGACAAATTTTAACAAAACATTATCAAGATGGAAAAATTGTTGCTGCTATTTGTGCTGGACCACGAGCATTATTATCTCATAAAATTGGTGTTGATCATAAACATACAATAACATGTTATCCAACTGTACGTAAAGAATTTACTGATGGTGAACCATATAAACTTGATGCACCTGAACATCTTGTTTGTCATAGTAAACATGCAGAAGAAGGTAAATATTAATCATTTTAATTAATGTATATTTTAATGAATTTTGTTTGTTTAGGTGGCGAAAAACGAGAATATCATCTAGTTACAAGTCAAGGACCTGCTACAACAATGGTTTTTGCATTGAAATTAATTGAACTTCTTAAGGGCAAAGATGAAGCAACAAAAGTTAAAGATGGATTACTTGTTTAAAATTTAATTTTCTTGTAAACATCTTACTTTCTTAGACTTAACTTCACTTAGTAGCATTATTCACCCGTATTCCTTTTTCAATATAAAAATAAACAAGCTCTTGATGCTCATTTTTTGTTTTCTTTGAATTTGATTATTTATTTACATTTTTATTGTATATCTTTTCAATCATGAGAATGGTAATTTACTTGAGATATGAAAGTCTTGAAAAAAAAAAAAAAAAGTTCAGCAATATTGAAATATGACCAATAGACTTTATCTATATCGCTTAATAAATACTATCAAAGAATGCATAAATTTGGACTACATATTCATAAATCAATAGACCATACGATTAGAATGAGGAACAGGTTAATTTCTTCTTCTGAAGTTTTTCTTGCATTTTATATTTCTGTCTGGAAACTTTATGCTGTGGATGGCTAACAGTTTTTATCAGGATTGTCAGATCTTCCGAAATGGCAGAAAAAATTCCGACTTTTGACGTTTGTTCCGAATACTTTCCGAAATCTTATGAAAAAAATTCCGATTTCTTTATTGTAAAATTTCGATTTACAATTTTTGAATCTGGTAACCCTGGTTTTTATCCTTTGTTGAAACAGATTGTCTTTGTAACAGCAAAGTTCTGTTTGCAATTTTTTTCAAGAGTAACATATTGAAAAGATAGAATGCTGACAAAATTGGTATGTTACTAAGGTCGTATTTCTTCGTAAATACAGAATCAATAATACGGCTGTATCTATGAAAGAATACGATATCGTAGACAACCAGTAATACTGAGCATGTGATAACGGCACAATACGGCATGAAAACGTTCGTTTACGGCGATCGAAACTCATTGACTTGGAAAGATAAACAAATGTCAAAAGTATGTCATGATCATCAACATATCTAAAATTCATTTAATAGATATTACAGAATACGATGTGCAAAATCCGTCTCAATATTTGGACAGTTACTTTAAGTATCGTTTTTATTGAATATATTTCCACCGAGTAATTTGTTAAGTGTTCGACGAATATCTTATCTTAAAATACATAAATTTGCAACAATTGTTTTCATAAAATACTGATATATTGAAACTTTCGTAGGATATCATGGGCAGCACAAGATTAGTTTATTAGGTGAAGCAATAAGTTTCTAAATGGATTGATGTTGCTTCCCTCACTCAATAGTGGAAGGTATGAGTAAAGAGTTAATCTGTCGAGCTCTAGTGAAGAGAAAAGGAACACTTACATTCAGACAATAGACAAAACGCCATAGAACTATTAGAAAGAACATTACTTTTAAAACTATTGACATGAAAAAATTTTTGTGTAGTGAATGTATAATTGTTTCCATTGATCAGAAATTTTTTCACGAATTTTGCCAATACAAGAAATAGCGATGATGGAAAAGTGTTCACGATTGATAACGAGAATATTAAAACTTTTAACTGAGAACATATTTTTCTGACAAAATCTGATGAATAAATCGTTTCTTTGTGGTTTTCGTAGACTTTCTCTCTTAATTCTTTATGATGAATGAAAACTAGTGTGTTAAGTATTAATTTAGTTAGGTATAGTTCATTTCAAGTGAATTTCTCTCCTTTGTTTGCCTTACTTCAGACTTTTATAGTTTGTTGTTTTTTCAATAATAGATACATAGTGAGAAAGTACAGACTTTACTGCATCGCGTGATATATTAATCATGAATAACAAACATAGATCGAACCACAAAAAATATATCAGGAAAAAAGACGGTATTTTTTTGTTCATGACAGTCTGCAATACTAGTAAATAAGGTTTTTATCTCTCCGTTGTTTTCGTACAATTTGATGGACATAAGTTCATTCTTATAGACAGAATGAGTTAAAGTTTATCGTTTTCCGTGCCAGTATTATAAGAAAAAAGAAAAGAAATATATGTATAGAAAAATGTACATTTGTCATTTTTGTTATTTTGTTTTTTATTGTAAAAATCCGGAAGAGAAAAATTGATGCGCTCGAAAAATCGGTAAATTAATTTTTTTTTCAAATAAATGTAACTTATTGTGATAAGAGTAATTGAAAGTGAATGCAGTGCCATCTTCTATGGACCAGATGTATATTATGACCAAACCTTCATATACACATGTAAATAAATATTTTCTTTCTTATAATCCAGACGAAATTTATATTGTAGTGAAAAATAATATTAATTTTTTTTCTGACGCATTCTTTTTTGTTATTTGATTCCTATTTGTTATTTATGATCAATATATATATATCAGGCGATGTAGTGAAGTCTGCACTTTCTCGCTAAATATCCATCGCCGAAAAAAAACTGTAATTGTTTCAGATAAGAAATACAAACAGAAGAAATATAATTAAGATGCACTTTAATAAAGTACAAAATATTATCTGTGACTTTGTTTATCGCATGTAAAGAATCATTCAAATTTAGTTTGGTTGATTTCATTAATTTTAAGGACTATTAATTAAACATATTAAAGGTCGAAAGATCATTATCTATCGATTGTTTTTTCTTTATTTTAGTGCAAAAGATTTATATATAGAGCCCAATTTAATTCCAATTATTTTCATTTCCTGGAATTCTATGTGATACATCCATAGTTGTGCATTAATTTCCGTTTCTAATAAAATGACACATCTCATATTATTTATTCAGATGGAACAAGAGAATAATCAGGTCATCTTCAATACTATTTTATAAGAAATAATATTCAATACTACTGTAGGTCAAACAACAGATGATGCTTAAAACAAGTCTTTTCTTTTTAAATGAAACTATAAAAGGAATTGCATGAAGTGCATATGAATTTTTTATCAGATCTTTGCATGACACCTCCTTAAATGAAAAAAAAAACAGAAGAGTTTTATAGTGTAAAAATCATATGACATTTTTCTAATGTATTAAAATTAATAGGTTGCATGTTCGAAGCTGAGATAATCGATTATAAAATAATTATTGCTTTTTTTGTACTAAAGATTATAAAGTTGAATATAACTTCCAGTTTGAAATTATTATATAATTATAATTCAAACTTTTGTACATGAAACAATATTGTTTTAGTAAAACAAAAAAAAACCTACAATTTAAATATTGAATTGAAAATTAACATTTGAAGATCATAAAATATTTCATTGCATTAAGAAATGTACGGATTTTATGATTTGATCAAAAGTCGTAGAATATCAAGTAAAATAGAATTTTATATTATATTGTTTTATTTATATCTATAACGTCTTTGTTAGCCGCTACTTGTCATCAACAGACTACATGTCATCATCAATATTAAAAAGTCTTTAGGATTATCACATAGAATTAGCATCAGTTATTTCCAAGAAAAATATAAATATATTAAAGAAAAAACAAAATTTCCGTTTTATTTTTATTTTATAATAATAAATAACATGATATTCCTTGTTAATTTCATGAATATGCATACAAACATTTTCTTCTATCAATTTATATTATTTCTACTTGTCAAATTATTCCGTTTTTTTTCTTTTGTTAATTTCAATAAACAATTTTTCCCAGAAAAATGAATATAATTGAATAACAAAGAAAATAATGGTACTCATAACTATTAAAAACTCTATGTTTATTTTGATTATATATAGATTTTTATTCCATCAAACATACAATTTTAACGAATATACGTTGTTCATTTATAGATGAATGCGTTTGAGCCCATGAAATTTTTTTATATTAAAAAGCAAAATAACTAAGCTTTTTACTTAACAGAAAATATATATCTGATTATCTGCTACAATTGACATGCATAAAAAAATTTTGATGGAAGTCTATTTTTAGCTAACTCCTGTAGTGTCATTATTTATTATATTCAAAAAAAATCTACATGAGACACTTCTATCCGTTTTTCTTAATTTCAATGCATTGCAATTAGGAAAAAAGAAAAAAAAGAAAAAAAGGAAAAGAAAACGATAGACAGAATAAACTCAGAGGAAAGACGACTGTTTGTTAATGCAATTCTAAGTTTTGAACGAGGTCATCAGCAATGTCGTATGTTACTAAAATGTCTTTCTCTTTTCTTTTCTCATCACTAAGATTTCTTCATTGTTCTGTCGCATCGTCGTCGCTTTTGAAAATATTATAGAAAGTTGTGCTCTTACCTATGCTCAAATGGTGCCGTCAACATATATATTAGGCACAGTACGACATCCACAACATTGAGCTAACAGCATTTATATTATTGTAAAAGACGACAACGAAGAAGAAGAAGAAGAAGAAGACAAAAAAATATTTTTTTAATAATCTTGAGAATTGTCATTATTATTTCTATGGCAGTACGAACAACCGTAAATCGACGAGATCGTAGTCGGGATGAAAATTGTCAAAATCATATCATACATGAATATGATGAAGAAATTGATGAAACAGAAGATGATCTTATTGAAAATTATCTTTATCTTACAAAACGTTGTGGTGTTTTACGTCATTCGCCAACGGCAAGCGTTTTGGATACAATGCAACAACAACGACAACATCATCATCATCAACAAACAAATCAATCAAGTTTTTCACGACAATATTCATTGGAAACAGAAAATCATCATATAGATTATGAACGTTCATTTCATCTATCAAAATCTCGTTCATCATTAAATGATTTAAATAATAATTATCATTCAGAAGATTATTCAATAACAAGTCGTGTACCACCAACAATATATTATCATAGTACAGGTGATGCTTATGATGATGGATCATTTTCTTTAGTAAAACTTTTTGCACGTATGAAAGCACGTATTAAACATGATCAACGTTATAAACCAAAATCTAATCATGAAATACTTCATGAAGAAGACTCACTGGAATGGTTTGAACTAACCAAAAATATTCGTAATGTTTTAACAAAAGCTCTTTTACCTGATGGTGGCTACGATGCTTTAGTACGTCAGAGAAAAGAAACTCATAATCGTCGAAATTCACAGAAAAAAGCTCATGACTGTGATCCTGTTTTATCGAAAGATATTGACGATGATGAAGATAAAATTA